GGTTGCAGTTCCCCTCAGCAGGGTTGATATGAGTTCTTCAACCTTCTCTCTTGGCTCAGCTCCAAACCATTGGCTTACTTGCTAAACTTCTGTCTTTTAACTCTTCTTCTGGACAGGAGCCTCTGTGGAAAGCTGGCTGCAGTCTGCCATCTTGCCTCCACCCTTCCAAGTTGTTTTTAAGGTAAATGGTATACTCTGCTATTTTCTTCATCTTTCATTTTCAAAAATAATGCATTTTCTCTAATGTCATTTTGTTAGAATTATTTCTCAGCCTTTTGACTAAGATCGAGTGAATTTATTAGACATTTATTGAGGCCTAGGACTATGTTGGCTATATGCAGTGTAATTATATTTTCCTGCCTCTAAAAATTTTTCTGACCCTTGAAATAAACAGAAAAGATAGGACTTGAAATTTCTAATGTTTCTGCTTTTCTCTTTTAAAGTATTTCCAGAAAATATGAATATCATACTGTTAATAAATTGAGAAAGAGATTCAATAAACCAACAAAGAAATTGACATTGGAATGCATTAGTTCCTATGATATATGAGCTCTTCCAGTGTAATTAAGGAAATGTCTATCTTTCATCTAGCTGCCAAAGTGATCCTCTTAATACATGGATGAAAACCAGGCACTCCCTTATGGGGGTCACTTCAAATTCACAAGTGTGGTTCTCTGTTGGGGTCTTATTCACCAGATTTCCTGTTCTGACACTTGGTATTTCAGACCCAGTGAGCTTCATAGGTCCCATACATGTTTTTGTGCCTCCTTGTTATCACACGAGCAGTTTCTTTTGTCCTATTTTCTATATACTTCAAGTTGGAGATCAAATATTACCTCCTTTCTGGAGCCTTCTCTAATTTTCCTGCTCAGATTTAGAAGTTCCCTTCTCTTATCTTCCAGAGCATTGTATAATGCTGAGCATTCACTCATGGCACTGTAGTGGGATTTTCCTTGTCCATCTCTTAACATCTTAGGACTATGAGCAACTTGGAAGAAAGCACTGTCCTATTTATTCTTGTATTTCCAGAATTAACTCAGGGCATGGCATGTAGATATTGGTTGAATGATGGGCAAGAGTGGAAGGATAGAGGGAAGCAGAACAAACAGCACACCATGGAAGGAATGCTGTTGGAGTTTCATGAGGATACAGGAACATTATGGGTTCTGGAGCATGTCACTGTTCAGCATGTTCTAATTCAAGATTTAACCTGATGACTCCATCAGAAAAAGAAAATGAATTAAAATTAATGGATTTCAGCCTCATTTTTCTATTAAGTACCACCATTAGACAAGTCTGTCTATGTCTTAAATTCTCCATGACAAGCAGTACCGTGGGGTACTGTTGACTACACAGCTTATCATCAGGGAGAGTAGATTTGAGTAGGCCCACCCTACAGCCTTCTATAGTGTAGCTGTTGGAGAATACTGGGGAATGTCATCCCCCAGATGGTCATACTCACTTCTATTATTTTAGCTTGGCCAAACCTAGCATTAGAAGAGTGAAGTTTGTAGCTCCTCAGTTTCTTTTTTTTTTTTCCTTGCAAGAATTTTCTAAGTGCTTACTAAAGTCCAGATAGTATACTTGGCCCTGAGATGATAAGGGTAAATTAAACAGAAATTCAGGATAATTTTAATGCATAGTAAATACAGTTGCAGAAGTACAAACCAGGTAACAAATTGAGAGCATTTGTTTGGTTAATAACAGTGAGAGAGGCACAATGAGAAGCAGGAATCTTCTAAGGACAGAGTTTCAAATTGTGAGCATGAGCGTGACTGAGAGATAGAAGCAGCCATATCTCTATGCTCCAAATGCTGCTTCTCATATTACTTCTAGAATGTGCTACCCCTAAGTATGCTCTCTCCAAAGCATCTCACTCTTGGGAATTGGAACAAACATATCATTTTGAATATAATGTGTCTCAAAGAATTATTTCCTATTTTATCAGCAAAAAAAAAAAAGTAATAATTCTGTGTTTTAAAGAATGATTTTAAAATTGTATAGTGACAAAAAGACTTTTAAAAACTCACCCAAGTGGATAGAAACTTCAAAATAAAGAATATATTTGGGTAGCAAAACCATTTAGGAGTTAAGTTGTCAAATATTAAATGGTGCTGAGAAAAGACATATTTTTTGCCTTTGAAGTTTGAAAATATTGCTTCCTATGCTTTATGGAGCTTAAACTATTTGAATAAAAATAAAACATCTCTCAGCCAGAAACGATCTAGCTGTAGTCCGATGTTATTTCCTTAGGACTACAACTGAGATGGAAAAGGAGAAGGTTCCGGAGGTATAGTTTTCTCCTCTCTGTTTCCTGCTGGGTCAGATGTTGAGAAAAAAACTGGGAGCAAGAACATGGAATGAAGTCTGGCTTGAGGAAAAAAATAGCAAAGCTTGAAGTATGTGACAAGAATTTTCCTCCTGGAGATTAGCAGTTATATTCTTTCTAATCTCTCTTTGTCTTTCTCCCTACCACCCCTTAAACTGAGCAAGTAACTCCTTAAGGGCAGAATTTAAATTACATAGTTTTTAAAGAACAACATTGATTTAGCTTCAATGTGTTTGGTATAGCTTAAAAAATGTTGCTCTGTTAGGACTTTAATGACACTGCCAAAATATTGTAAATGCTGGGAGATTACATTCTCTACAGATTGGGCATAATTCTAGAATTTCATTGTTTTTGCCAATTTTTATGCCCCAAAGATTCCAAGTCATTTGTCAAATAGTCTCATATGTCTTACTACAAGAACTAGTCAGAAAACTCTAGTTATTTAGAAATGGTTTGAAAAAAAATAGAATGTCTAACATTTAATATAATGTCAACAATTTTTTAAGAGGGGAAAAAATTAATTATACCTCAAATTAAGTGATCAAAAGAAACAGTTTTGGTGAAAATACTTATTCACAGTAAGTCATTAATATGGATAGCCAATGTTTCCTTTTGGAGAAGTAAATTGAGAAATGCTTGAAGTATTTTCTTGGAGTTGTATTCATTATTGACATCTAATCAGAAATTTGCTTACAGAGTTGTGTCCCTGGGCCACCCTTTGAAAGGCTGTGAAGCATGGCAAGGCAAATTAGAGACTCTCCCCAAGAGAACTGAAGGCCTGAGAAGTTTAGCATTAACACTGAAGGCAATTGAGAGCTGAATAGTTCTGTGTTCTCTGTTTGCAGATGAAGCCAGAATAAGGATGACTGCCCCAACTGGGCCCCTACAGCTCCGTGGATCAGGCAGCAGCAGGCCTCTGCCCTGACCACTGCTATAAGTTAGACACACACCTTGGGTAGATTAGGAGCAGAATGAAGCTGACGAGGAGCTTGTAGAAACCCAGCTTCTAATCCCAGCTCTCTCTCTGCATGCTCAGATGCTCCATCTTTGAGGGCTACATGAGGCGCCCCTCTTGTGCAGTAGTTCTTAACAGTTCTCACCACCTTCATCTGCTCACATTCATTCCTTAACAGCCTAAATCTGGCTGCCTCTCCCTCCAGTCTTTACTCAAAAGTTGACCATGCTTTTATCATTCTCACTCTGCATATAGGAAAGTTACAAAGAAAGGACAAAGAACTAATAGCCCTCACCCAGATCCCCCCAATATTATATTTGTGTTGTCTCTTCTCTCTTCACACTCACACACATTCTGTATTTTCCTGAAACATTTAAGAGTAAGCTGCAGCTAGATATCTTTTTATGCTAAATACTTCAAAATGTTTCCTAAAGAGCAAATACTACTCTTACAAAACTACAATAAAGGGATTAAAAATCACCTTCTTAATTTTTTTAAGCCAAAATAACACACGAGCATGTAAAAACAACAACATGTAAGTGGTTAGAATGAAAACAACAGCCCCCCCCCCAGTCCAGCTCTACTTCTTAGAACTGAGAAGTGGTGATTTTGAATTATTTCTATTTTCATCGTTCACATAATTTTGCTCTTAATTCTAAATACTACACATATCACTATTGGGCGAGTCATGTGTCTTACAAATATTTATGGAGATATTCCTTTGTTTCTAACTTTGACCAAATATTGTATATAGATAATTCTTAAATATACAAAAAATCCCATACCTCTCAATTGCCTTCAAACTCAATGTTAAACTTCTCAGGCCTTCAGGTCCCCGGGGCGGATGCTCTAAACTGGCCTTGCCATGATTGTTTCTCTGCTGTCCTCACACTTCAGGCAGTTGGGTTGGTTCTCTTACATAATCCTATAATTCTCGAAGCCTTTGCACATTCTTCTTGATTCTTTTTTCTTCATTTTTGACTGACTGGCTTAATTCAGTCAGACAAAGCCTTGTCTTCAAGCTATAAAATTATATCTTCTGCTTGGTCTGGTCTGTTGTTAAACTTTCCCTTGTATTTTGTGCTTCCCTAAATGAATCTTTAATTTCCAGAATTTCTTTTTTTTTTT